CCCAGGCTCCGCAGCAGCAGGGAGGCCAATCGGACAGCCAGCATCTCCTCCCAGACCCCCCGCCCCGATGGCTAGTAGAGAACGGGGGTGTGTGAAGACCCCATACCTCCCTCCTCCTGCTCATGTGTAGTGTTGCTGCATGTTGTTCTAAAGTGCATTTAAAACACGGGAGGGCATGGTGCTGCTGCTAGAGAGCAGCAGGTGTTAGCACGGCCCCTCCCGAGAACCCTCAATGTCTACATGAATTTAAAATTCAGAGGCCATCACTTAACCCTTCGCGTGCCAGCTGTGGCCCACGTGCCCAGGATTACCAACCCCTGATGTAGTATAATGAAAGTGTGGCAGGGTCTCCATGTTGAGCGAGTGCTGAGTATTTGTAAGTGTGTGCATGAGGGGTGGGAGTGCATGTTTGTGTCTGTATGGGCCTGTTTGTCTATGTCTATATATATCCACCTCTCTAGCAACATCTCAGGCCCCCACACTGAGGGGGGGCCTATCTCCCCTCACCACACTCCCTGCCGGAGGCTGATGCCCTCAACCGTCGGTGCATTTGTGGTTCTCGGTGTCCAAGGCCGGGTGCTCAGGTACATACTGGCTGACTTACAGTGGCTGCTTGGTGGCCCTGGCGCCAGTGGCTCGGTCAGGCCTGTTCCGGGGGGTGGGGGGCCCTCAGACTTCGGGGGCAGGGCTATGGCAATATCTTCCTTGGCTGCTGCCTCAAAGCATACTGGCGTCTGTGGAAAATAGCAATGTAATGTAACGCATAGCAATGTAGAAGCCGTGTGTTTGCGTCTTCGTAGCAGTGGTGCCGAAATCCTAGCCATGGCATGGTGGAACCATGACCGACCCAGCCAGCTGAAGCGCTGGCCCGGATGGTGGCCGAGCTCGCAGTTATGCAGAGGGAGCAGGAGGTGGATGGGAGGCTCACATCGTGGAGCTGGTGGTATTGGAGCAGTTCATCGCAGGGCTTCCATCAGAGACCGCTGGATGGGGCCACTGCCCAGCCAGCTTGGACGTTGCCATGACCCGGGCCGAATCATTCCTCTCTGCGTGGTTGAAGGAGGCAGCAGGGCAACCACGATGGCCGCCCGGTAGCCGTTCCATTCCAGCTCCTAGAGAGAGGAGCCCAGGGTGCTTCAATACCACAGCTCGCTGGGACGGAGCAGCAGCCACGAGCTGCTGCTATCTCTCCACAGGTCCTGGCGGCTCCTGTCACCTCACCTCACTCACCAGGAGCCACACAAGCGCCAGGGCAAGCGTGTTGGAGATGCGGGAGACTGGGACATGTCCGCTGGGAGTGGCCCCAGATGGATGTGGGACAGATGTTCTATGTAGCCGGCCCTCCAACCTCCTCCCGCCATGAGGGACAAATATTGTACTGTAACATATGGGAC